GAGAGAGAGAGAGAGAGAGAGAGAGAGAGAGAGAGAGAGAGAATCAGTTACCTGCGAAACGGAGCTGCTGGCTCGCCTGGAATCGGCCCAAGCGTTCGTTCCATATCCCAGATTGACCTGTGCTCCACCACTTCCGCCTGATCTGACGCTTCCCGAGCTCACTTCTCTTTGACGATAAGGCGAGGAACTTCGGTTTCTCGTGCTCCCTGGACACAAGCGCAAATATTTGAATTTATTCGACTGCTTTTCGAAATTCCTGCACGAGAAAGAAGTATCTCGCGCACAATTCTTCGCGCGATATCCCGTGAATATTTATGAAGACACGGAACGCGAAACAGTTCGCGCGGGCGTAAAAATTGCAAAATAGAATCTCGCATTCTTCGAACTTGCTGACGTTTTGTTTGACAAAAAATACTTCTACTTTTTTCATCGATTTGCAATTTCTTTTTTACAACTGGGATGTATTCTCAAATTCTATACATACGAATTACAATTAATGTGCGTCAGATTGGCTAAATTCTCTATGAAAATTTTACATGAACTTAACTTGTATATGTGGGATATTTTCTAAATAGACTGTATATAAAGTTATAATATCCATTTATTTTTGCGTTTGAATTTTTGAGGATAATTTTATTCTAACTAGTTTCTAGTTTTTGACTCTCTTTGTTTTGCAATTAATGAACACTAGATAACTACGTAGTTACGAACAATGGTAAACGGCGCGCCAATTAACAGTATTAGTGCGCAATTAAATTTGTATCCTCCATTTGCAGGAAATTCGCTCGTTGTGAAGAGACATCATGCACTGCAAACTCAGGCGATGAAATATCTTTGTCAACAAGCTTCCGCGTAATGCGCGCTGCTTCGCGCGATAAATCCGCGCTTTCAATTTACAGAATACGAATCCCATCTGCTGGGGAGATTTTGATTATTGCGACGCGTTTCTCGCCGCGAAATTATCGACTTCGCTCGCCCGCCGGTAGTTCGGTAAACAGGCCGGTCAATCTTGTCGCTATCGATCTCCTGGCGATAATCATATAGGCGATGGGCGCGAATTCGAGCGATAAAACCTTTAAGAAAGCGGTTTAATGCGTTGTTGTGTGACACGTGTCACATTATTACAATACTTACGAGATCAGAACAATTACAAAATTATAATGAATTATTCATTGTGTATTTGCATTTTTACTGTTTCAGATTATTCAAGGAGAAACTTACGCTTCGAGCAGTTTATCTGGCCGGCTAAGAACACGCACGCAATCCCTTTCGCATCGCAGTCGGGCAAAGTGGGTAAGTATGGGAATATGTCTCAGACGCATATTTCAATCTCGTGACCGGTGGTGGTTTAGTGTAGCTACTAACGTTAATAAGTATCGTGTGCACGCGCGAGAAAATCAGGCCAATTTGCGCCGACCGAAACGTAACTTTCCCGCGTGACGTTAATTATCGCTCGGGCAAATGTCTCTTACTTGCCTCGCGTTTGATTTTCTTGCCCTCGTGTTGGCGTCGCCCCGAGAATCGCGCGGCAATAAAAAAGCCGTCTTAGCGTGAGGAATTATTAAGTTTCCGTTTCTCGTGAGTTTTATCTTTATTCAGGAATATTAGTAGCGAATTATCACCGCGAGATATATATGTACATATCTGCATGCGCATATATATATCTGAGATTGTGGTGAACCAATTTGCATAGGTCGACTTAGGAGGTTTAATACTATTATACAACACTACTATGTGTGGGTTTTCCAACCGCCAATAGCAATTTAGCACACGATATGTTTAAGTCTAATAACCTGCCAGGAACTGAACTTGCCAAAAATATGATTCGTGGTTTATTACGGCAATTAACATATCGAAAGCTGAATTTTTGTGGGGAGGAAACTGATGATTTACATGTTAAATCAAATCTAAATATTAGTGCAAAATCAAACTTATAGAAAATGCTTTTTATATTATTTAGTATATCTTATCTTAAATAATCGAATATATCTTATCGAATATATCATGCTATATTATACTTGTGACGCAATGGAAAGATCGATGGGAGAATTTGAAGGTACTTCGTATTCGTCTGACCTGATTAAATCACAATAAATTTAACCGAGCGACAATACGGAAAATTAAGAGGGAAGGATATCGACAAGAGGGTTGTTTCTTAATGAAAGCCTCGCACCGGAATCGACGTCGGATCGTTGTCGACTTGTCGATATTATTTTACATCTCTATAGGCAGATCCGTTCCTTCCGTTCGTGCGTCATGATTACGTTACTCCGAGGCGCGAGTGTCTGTCGCATCCGCCGCAGGATTTCAGTGAGAAGTATCGGATGTGCGATACCGTGCGCAATCGACACGCACGAGAGTGTATCGCCTACCGACCAATTTCTGTCATTCGAGATATATTATGCGCGTCTGTCGCACTCAATACCCGGAACATGGGAGAAAACTAATCGGCCTCTCCAGAGACCTGACGTCGGGCGTACGGTAATGAGCGTCAAATTGCCATTACATTCCCCGAAGGAGAGAAGATACTTGCCTCGAGGTAGATGCTCAGCCTGTAAGTGGGGGATGTAAGGAAACGCTTGCGTGAAATCTCACTGATGAATATTTTATGATCCGTCCTTAAACCGTATATAAAACAGCTTCGCTTATAATTACTCGACAAGCAGAAAATAGATAAAAGCATCGATTATTTTTAATATTTATTTTAATATGCGATACATAATAAAATTTGCTCAATCCCCGAATAAGCTTATTATTATTTTTAACAAATGTACTCGCATCCAGCAATTTCTTGTCGTAATCGTAATTTCTCCAGTCAATAACTGAACGGGAAATTGTTTAATTCCGTCATGTATGATTGATATGTCGCGTATGTAAGCATATTATTGGCACAATCTGACCGCATTTGCGGCAAGCGCGAACGTTTCCTTTGCACATCGCGTTGCGTTTCACCGCGACGCTATAATTTCGCGATTGGATTATATCTGTATTTTGGTATTCGGATGCAGAGCATTGCGGCTTGGATACACGATACATCCAAGGACTACATTTTCGCGGTAGTTTTTGTATCGAAGATTTACGCAACATCGGCTACGATGCGCGAAGACAAGTCTGTAGTGAGTCCAATATCGTAACTCTCGATTATTTGTGTTGTGTGGAAAAAGCATAGTCCACAACTCGAAGCTTAGTAATTACTTTCACCGTGTAATAGCAATCCTAGCAATTATTATACTTGTTAAATTTAAAAAATAATATATTTTAAAAATGTTAGGACACAAAAAAGAGTATCTTGAAGGAGTTTCAAGAAACTGAATTGATGGGATATCAAACGGATTAAGAATATTTAGAAATTTTAAATTCTTACCCTGATCCGCGGAAGCTCTTCTAGGATCTTGCAAGCCCAGATTGCCCCTCGCCGCCCTTCTGTCTTGATGCCCTCCGAGACTACCTCTAGGACTTCTATTGATCCCGTCGGGCCCGATGCTTCCTCTGGGACTTCTGTTCTCGTCGTCATTGATGGCTCCGAGAGAGCCTCTCGAGTGTCTGTCGGCGTCGTTCATGCCAATGCTTCCGCGCGGCGATCGATTCGTCTGATCGTGCAGTACGATCGAACCTCTCGGACTCCTGTTGCTCTCCGGCGGGCATATCGATCCGCGCGGGGACCGATTCGGGTCCGGCGCTATCGATCCTCTGGGCGATCTGTTGGGATCGGGCGCGATAGAGCCGCGGGGACTCTGGTTCAGACACTCCGAGGCTATCGAACCGCGTGGACTCCTGTCCACGACCTCCATGGGCGTGATACTCCCCCTGGGTATCCTATGCAGGTCCGGGCAGATCGAGCCACGTGGACTTCGGTCGAAGTCCAAGTTCGCCATGCTGCCTCGCGGACTTCTCGTCGAGTCCGGCACCAACGAGTGTCTGGGGCTACGATTGAGGGCCGCGATCGCGTTACCGTTCTCCGGCAAGAGGGATATTCTGGAGCCGCCGACCGCCATACTATTTCGTGGACTCCGATTATAGGCCACGTCCGGCACCAGAGAATTTCTCGGGCTGAGCGCCGAGTCCGGCACCAGGGAGTGACGCGGACTGTGAGATACTTCCGGCGTCAGGCTATTCCGCGGCGACCGTACCATGTCGGGTACTAGACTATTGCGTGGGCTCCTGTTCGGGTCCGGTATTAGGGAGCCCCGCGGGCTTCTGCAGTAATCGTCAGGTATCAGAGAGTTTCGTGGGCTGCGGCTCGCCTCGGGTGCCAGGGAATTGCGGCCGGTGCCATACTGTTCGGGATCCGGCAAGATCCTGCGACAGACTCCCTGAAATAGAACACCATGCATAGATTCTAGAGCATTACCTCGTATAGCAGAAGAAGCAGGATTCTTAGAGCAAAAATTAATGTTCAAACGTACATGTGAAGTTTTTGTAAAAGAGATCGCACTCTCTTCTCCCTTTCACGTAAAATATTTATCAAGAATGATAATTAGTCACTTTAGTGAATTAGCTCGTCAATTTTCTCTTTACAAATTGTTTAATTTCTATTTATTCAAGTTAACTGGTTTTTCTCATTTTACTTGGAAATGGTTGGAGATATGCGTATTAATATTGCACGCATTCATATCTCTGCAATGTATCTAGTTTAATTAACATAGGAATTAACGTAGGAATAAATTTACATTTGCATATGAAAGCTGCACGCTCGCGGAACATATCAAAACACTCGATTGAAGTGAACGTATTTTAATCATTTTAGCGATCGCTGTCCAAAGCCAACCGATAACTTTCGAAACGCATATGCCTATGCCGCGCCAATCATTCGCTAATGAATAACATGTGATGGCAATCCATTTGCCGTGAAAATTTCATGACCTCAAAATTTTGTGGATAAACTGATGTGTAACGTGCGTGACAAAAAGTTCGTATTTAGTTTCATCGATGGATGCGGTGCTCGAATCCCATATCGATCGAATACAATGTCAAACACCTGTACAGTCGAATATCCCTTGAGTAATTGAATATTCTGTATAACATTGCGTAGCCTGAAGGGAATAAAAAAAACATACACAAAAAAAAAGAATGAAAACTGCTACAGGCTCGGAGCTCGGTTGACTGAGAATTTCAATTAATTGGAGTTATTTTCTGTGCTCTACCCAATTGTCAGTATTGTAAAATTGTCGTCGATCGAATTGCTTAAATCATTATTCGTGACAGTTCTAAAAATAGTAAATTAGATCTTCATACATCTCGGAAAGAATGAGGTTTTGACACTTGTGCTCGGCCGCACATATACCAAAACGAAATCATTGTTGCGGGCAAGAGTGTTCATACTGTTCATGTTACTGTGTACACTGCAAATCCAAGTATATTATTTTAACTGAAGCTCTTCTTACACATTTCTTGCCGTTTTAAATCACGTTATTTAACACGGTTGAACGTATTAACTATAATTTAATAGGATGATTGAACGTGTTAATTTAACAGCAACAAATGTGTCATTTTTAGACGTTTATACCGTGTAGAAATAACTTGGATTTCTAGTGTACTAAAAGCAATAACGATTCGAATACATATATAAAGAGATTATAGTGGAATTCTATAAATGTAAGAGGGTGCAGAGTACTAACCTCGTCGGGGGAGTCGCTCTCGGTATCCAGAGCAATATTCGGCACCACGCTACCCCTCGGCGACCGTTGCCTTTCCATCGTTCCGCCGGGGCTACTTGGTGGCAAGATGAGGGGTTTTTCAGTGGCTACGCTCGCTCGTCGACCTCGCATCGTCGGAGATGCCGGCTGGCTCGAGTTTGCCACGTTTGGCGACGCTCGCCGGCGCCGCGACGAAGCGCTTCGATGTAACATCACGGCGACATCCTTTTATCTCTGCGACACAATAGATTTCCCCATCTCACCAAAAATCTCGCCAGAAATATTCGCAAAAGATTATTTAACGTCAATATTATTTTTTAATCAATATTAATATCAAATAACACGCGTTCTATGACAAATATGTGACGTAAGGGGTATATTAGAATACATTGAAGTACTTATGAAATTAACTATGCTAACTATTAAAGAATATATTTAAGTAACTTGTGAATTTTCAAGCTAAATTGCAAAGATGCCACCTCCATACTAAGAGGCTAGCATTGCCTATTAGAAGTTCGAAGAAGTAACAAAACTCTTTAAACTTCTGCCGAGTTTTTTGTGTGGTACGTTAAAAAGACAAGTGCAGTACTACAGAACTATGAACTTAATTGCTTGAAACGACATTTCTCTCTTCAGAATGCACAAAAAATTATGACTCGAGGGTCTACTTAAATGAGAAGAATACATATTATTATACTAACTATATTTGTATATGTTAGTATAATATGGTTAGTTTTATGAAATGATTTAATGTATATTGTTAAATTAATTATTAAATATCTTTTAATACATAAAAATATTGAAGTCTAATTACCTCAGACAGAAGATATATATATATATATATATATATATATATATATATATAGCTTAGGCTACTATTATAATTATAAGAACTACGTTCAATGCACATATATGTTCCCGGATAGACAATTAAATGCCCAACGGGTTTCCAAGAACATTCATTACATGTCTACGCTACATGAACAGTTTCTACCCGGAAGATGACCCAGATAAGTGCACAGCGGGGTTCAATGCATTATATCGGCCTGCCTAATTCCCCGACCCGAACTGCGACGTGCATTTTGATGCGCCGATGGGAGCATGTCTCTCATCGCACGTAACACCTCTTGCATATAGGCCGTGCATATATTATCGATTCGCGTATAGGTCTAAAACAGTTCCAGAGCGGATTAATTTACGACCGGGTATTGTATGTCGTAAAAGTAAGCAGTGCAGAAAGCCTTTCATGCGAACTCGGTAAACACGTGGAAAAATATATCGCAATCTATTCCGAATGAGGGAAGATCCGGAACAAAATTTGAAATTATACACATATTTCAATTGAAAAATATGCGATATCGGTCTATATATGATTATTTATTGGAAAACTACGTAAAACTGAATAATATCTAGGAAATTGAACATCTGTTTATATCTCATATTATGTAATTAAATGCGAAATATGAAGGCACGAGCATGAACGGGATACTGTGCGTTCTGAAAACATGACCATCGGCAACGTGGATGAATTATCGTGATATCGTTAATTGTTTTGCTGAACGCGATCAACAAGGTGAATAAAATTTGTTTATAGGTATATTTTATAGGTACGATGCTTGGTCGACATTCAGTTTAGCGGAGTCAATAAAGGCTTTATTGGAAAACTTTTTATTAACAGAGAATAATTTTTTTGCGAAAATGGTCAGCAAATAATGTGCTTTTTGAAGTTAAAATCTGAAATGATATAATTTAAGATAATTGATATAACAAAAATACCACCCATGTATTTTTCGTGAAAATTGAACGAAGATATACGAATTGTTTTTTCTTTACCATTTTTTATTACCGTTTTCTCATTCTATTTTCATGAATTATCTTCGCTTGTAAATGAATTCCCACAGAAATTTTCACGTCAATGTAACTTGTGGAACGTATTTTTGGAACGAGTCCGCGACTCGTAACTTACCGAGTATTATTACTGCAATTTTAGACATTATTATTAACAGAAAAACAATCCGCGTTAAAAAAGTCCTAGTATCTCGTATGCTATACACGCTAATTTTTCAGTCAGAAAAAAATGTGTGAAAAAAATATTCAACGCAAAAAACTGTGAGCGCTGCTAGAGCTTAAAATATAGAAGATATTTTAAGCTCTAGCCAGTATCACAAATCTTTTACGTTAAATTTTATTTCTACGCGTCACAAAACACAACTCTGTAATATCATTACTTCTTTTTAGGAAAATTAAAAATACTAACACTTGACACATGTTAAAATTTACCTGTTTGTACCGTTTAGTAAAACGAGCGTGAAATTTTACGAAAAATTTCAAGCCGAAATCTGTAAATCTGTGGCACGTTAATTAAAGCTACGAGAGTGGCACGAAATTTAGTCATTACGAAAAACTTTTCGACGTAGGCGCGAGACGGCATTAATTTCGTTGGTACTTCTTCTTATTTTTTGCCATTATTCCAAACAGAAACGCGACTTCTGAAAGAAAGTTCCACGAAATCTCTCTCTTGCGAAAACTTAGAGATCTGCACGTATGGCGTAACGATATTATATCTGCCGACACGTTTTCCTCATCCACTGAGTAAGCAACTTAGACTGTGCGTACAAATATTCTTCATCTATGTATTACAGTTTCAAGATATACGAAACTTCCGTATATGCATTTATTACGAGGTTATTTGTCTCGTAAAGGTGCACTTCGTACAAATCTATCGCACTTGAAATTTTGACAAAGAGCATACTCAATATCGAGTAACATCGGGAATCCACTCAGCGAATATGATGATAAGAAACACGCGACATAGAATAGAATTTCAAAGCGAGGTTTTTCATAATTCAATGGTCTTAGACTGCCGACACCATTACGATCTTGTGTAAGCGCGACACGTTTACTCAACTTATGGCGCCGCTCGATGAGGCGCGCGTTGAAAATATTTCGCTGACATTTAACAGTCATGACGTGCGCTCGTTATTTTATCGCCCACGCGAAAGTCTTTCTAAGTCAACTTCGCAGCTTGCATATCGTCGCGAGATCATCTACGTTATCAGCGCCGGCATTTTCTTTAGCGGACTGCGATTACGTCAACGGTTGAGCCACGCGCAAGTTTCAGGTGTAATAAACTAATTAACGTGCTATTGATGTTGATTGAGTAACGCGAGTCGCAATTAAAACCATTCGATAGTGCGCAATATGCTGCTGCAAGTACGGCGACATTTTGCGATTATACGTGTCACCACTTAAATTAATTACTGTGGACTATAAAATGAACAAACCAACTAAGGCCAATTATTCAACTAAGGCCAATTATTCAATGACTATAAAGATATGAATTAGAAGCCTAATTATTCCTGCTTTACAACATCAAATAATGCACGGCGTTTTTCGATTTAATAAAATGACATAGTGTTATTTAAATCAGTCTGTTCAAATTAATCTGTAAAATGATTAATACGATATCAATATCACTTTTTGAGACATATATTTTGTATTAAATAAATATATCTGAAAAAAAGACCGCTCATAATAAATTTAAAGTAACAACCGCGATACAATAACATTACAATAGTACGGCAATTTTGTAATTATACCTGTGTGTGACAATTCGTTCAGAGTAATTAACTATTTAAATACAGTAATGCGTTAATGAACTACAAAATAAACTAACCCAAAACAAGCGATAAATATTCCTATTTACTAAATATTACAAGCAATTTACCGAATTGTAACGGAAAATGCATTGCACGTGCTACATTTAAAATTACTAGCTTTTCATTTTACTGTAGATGAAGGTATGAGAAAAACGCGTGGGAGCAAATAGCTGTATTGCATCCTTTTTTTCTTAAAATAGAAAAAAGTAAATAAATATAAAAAAGATAATTAAATAGGGTGAACTCGGATAAGATGGCCATACAGGAAAAAATAGCCAACCTATGTTCTTTCAATCTAGCTTGCCATGAAACATCGAATGAACATGGGTTGACCATCTTTTCTGTATGGCCATCTTATTTGAGTTTACCCTAAACTAAAATTATTTTTAAATCTCAATGTACGTCATTGACATACATCGAGGCTTAAATAACGTCGGTAAGAAAAAAAATCCATTGTGTGCGACGTGTATTGATTAAAAATAAGAAAAAGGAATTAAAAAATAAGTTGAGAATTTAAAATATCGAACAATACTGCGGGGGTTGGGCGTCCAGGATATTCATTAAATGGCCGCTGTATCGGGATAGCGCGAGAACGACAAAGTACTGAAAGTTAATTAATCGGAGCAAGCAGAGTGCGCAGTCAATTACTCGTTGCGATACTTCGACGGATCGACTCTGCGCCGTAGGCCGTATACCGTATATCACTCGACCGACAAGTCATTTACGGCCACCTAGCACGAACATTCGTAGTTGTAAACGACTACCGTCAGTACCGTTTACTACCGGTGTTCGCCGGCTGAATTAGATGCTGCGCGCGCGCGCGTTCATTTAAGGCCTAAGAATATCTCTCAGAACGTAATTATCACGTTGCACACCGTCGTGTCTGAAAAGACGTATGAATTATTGGACGGACGAGAAGCGGCGTTAACGAAGATGGAACGCGACGCGAGTTCGTAATAGCGAGTGTTCTCTGAAGCTCTTTTCGTATTTCTCTTGCGAGACTGAACTTCCGCGCGGCGTGAGTTCTTAAGCTGCTGAATGCATAATGCCGAGCACGACAATTAGACTTCAAGGTGAAATGCATTCGATGGATACAGAAAAGTCTGTGTATTGCATGGAAAGCTTGACGATGGAAAGCTTCACGTCATTACAAGTAAAATGTTAAGAATCGAAAGTTTATACCGCGATATCCGTCATATATTAATACAATTTCATTTTTTTAAATTATTTTTATTATTAATGTTTCGAATTGCTGTTTGCGATCTAGTAGACTGCTACTACAAATTTTGACTCCGAGACTATTAAATATTTCTGTTTCGGAGTTGCCTTTGTCGATCCGATAATTAATTTTCGTTGAGCAAGTTGAGAGTTTATCGACCAAACAACGGCATGCAAATAAGATCGATAAGGAGTAAGTCGGAACAGATAATAAAAACACATAATAAGATACGGTATTACTAGACTATTATATGGCACTCTTAAGATATTTTGTCACTAAGAAGAGTAACTAGTTACAAAAGGTAATTATTCTTATATATAATAAATACCCTGACTTAATCAAACAACCATTTATCA